CGCCCTGCACAGGTAGGCGCGCTCCCCGCCGCCAGGCTGGCCCAGCGGCCCTCTCCCCTCCCTGGAGGGCCGGCAGGAACAGCCTCCTAACACTCTTCCCAGCCACCTGCCCGCTCCATCGTGGGCACCGGAAAAGTCAGCCCCAAATGCAGGCGGGCCTGCCCGCTCCCTTCGCTGTCACCAGGGCTCAGCGGACAGTGGACGGGCCGATTCCTGGGCTCGGCGTCGTGTGACAGTCCATGACCTGCCGCCTCCTCTCCCGTGTCTCCACTTGGCAGAGGGGTGCTCTTCCCTTTTGTGGGGGGGCCGCCCCACCCGCTCCCTCACCCTTTTCCCTCCCCACATGGTCCCTCCAAGTCTTAGAGAATCAACTTGCGGTCCATCTCCTTGGGGACCTAGGCCGGGTTCCATGGCCCTTGTCCCAGATGCCACCGCTCACCTGGCCCTGTCTCCCGTTTTCACCCTCTGGGGAAGTTCCGGTCACTTCATTCTAGTGGACCTGTCGCTGACCACTAGCCAGTCTTTGAGTGCCTCCCCCCTCCCCCCCCTTGGCTGTATTCGAGGCAGCCAAGCGGGCTCTGGCCTCCCGGGAGGCAAAACCTGCTGAGAGTTTGATTGAAGTTACAGCGAATCTGCAGGTGGATGAGTGTAGGGAGACTCCTGCCTCCTTGGGACCCATCTTCCGGTTCAGTCATGCGGTGCACTTCCTCGTTTACTCAGGGCCTCCCTTACGCAGGTCAGAGCGTAAGGTCCTTAGGACTCGGGCACTGGCGTTCACCAACGAGACGGGCTCCCGCTTTGCTGAGGCCTTTCCTCTCTGGATGGGCTTTGAGGGTGTGCAGGCCTCCCCAGGTGTTCCCCTCCCTCCTGCTCTGGAGGCAGCTCTTTGCTCCCTGGATGACTGGTCGAGGTCTCGGGTGAAGGCACGTGTCCCGAGCCTTTTCTCTGGGGAGACTTGAAAGTAGGGGTTCCCTCCCTTCCTGGTGCTTTCCTGGGAGAGCGGGGCTGACCCGCACACGTTTAACCTCCCAAGACCAGTGTCCTCGGGTCCCGGCGTCTTGGAGGGTTAAGGAGAGCCTGACGCGATGGAGCAAGTCCTCTCGCGCTGACCCGCCCGCCGTGTGTGTGTTTGTTTTGACAGAGAGGTGATTGAAAAGAAGCCAGAAAAGTTTAAAGTCCAGTGCTTGACAGACATCAGAAACCTGTTTTTCCCAAACACAGAACCGTTCTACGCTGCTTTTGGAAACCGGCCAGCTGTGAGTAGTGGACGGGGGTGTGGGCTCTGGGGGTCCTGCCGGCTGACAGCAGCCACGGGGGCGGCTGCCCGGAGTGGACAGTGGGAGGCCAGCCCCCACCCGCCAGGAGGCGCCGGGAAAGCCACCTGCCTCCGCCCGAGGCGGGGAGACTCCCCTTTCTCTCGGCCTCTGGCTTTCCAGCAGGCGGGCTGGTGCGTTTCCGTTTGAGGCATGAGATGTGGGACTAGACACATTAAGTTCAGAACCACTTGCTGAATTGGTAAAACAGGAACACGGAGTAGGATTAGCCGCTTCCTCCCACACGGGGACCACGAAGCCAGCCCTCAGCCCCGCGGGGAGTCGGTTTCCAGAGCAGAGCAGCCCCCGCTTACCGGCGGCTTTGCTCTCCGTGGCTTCAGTAACTGTGATCAGCCGCAGTCGGAAAACGCTCCATGGAAATGTCTAGAAGTAGCTCACAAGTTTTTTTAAAAAAATATATTTTATTGATTTTCCACAGAGAGGAAGAGGGAGGGATAGAGATTTAGAAACATCGATGAGAGAGAAACATCGATCAGCTGCCTCCTCCACACCTCCTACTGGGGATGTGCC